GGTTCCTTTTTAATACATGAGATCTCCTTAATTTGTGTATTTAATTTATCAAAAAGAGTAGCCTGGTATAGTAGTAAAAAACTCATACCTAGCCCCATGCCCTCCCTTTTTTTTTCAGAAATATTTTTGATTATTATTAATATTAAGTTTTTTCAAAGTCAAGTTATGCAAAGAACAATCTGCAGTGCGAGTGCTTTGTCGAACCATAAATGGTATCTCTTGATTAAAGATTTCCGTACTGTAATTCAATTCTAATAAAACTTCGACAATTCCAATATCATTATCATTCTGCGGTATTCTAGTAGATAAAGTAACTATATTATGCTATTCAGACACAGGCATATTCTAGTTAAGCTTCCTGAGTGAGAAGGCAACACTTGCTGGCGATCGGAAAGATTCGTTGTTTGTTGCAAGAAGCTGTAAGAAAAGTACTTTCACCCTCTAAGGCTGAAGGCTGAAACCCGAAAGTATGTTATAGAAAAGGTATGTTTTATGAATATGCACAAATACTATTTTTAGGTACAGTCCATTTTTAATTTGAATACCTCGTATAAGCAATGATAAAGTTTTAAATTATTCAACAAGTATTATTTGGAGTATATGCATTAATACAAGTAATCTGCAAAGCTATAAAACCGTGATATCACAATCATAGCTTTAAAATATAATATCCATTCTAGAACTATGGGAAAAAATTGAGATTTTATATTACGCCCAAAGGGACGTTTTATTTGCTACCTCTGTGTATTAAATATCATCTGCTTGGCAATTAAAGAATAAAATTAAATTCAACAGCAATATCACAAAATAATGTTAAACGAGCATATTCTTAGAATTTTCCGATACACAGTCTCGCGCGCTGGATATATTTTTATTTTCCGTGCAGTGTTGCCATTCCTCAGTTTGAACTCGTTAAGTTCGTTAATCAGAAATTCGTTAAAGTTTTACAAAATATGAAATCTCTACATATAATAAAAGAAAGAGTCTGTGTGTGTGTGTCTTTCGTTCGCTCTGCGCGTAAGCTAATAGACCCACGGCTACGAAATTTGGTACATAGGTGCATCTAGACAAGAGCCAGTGCACCTCGAAGCGATTTTTTCGAAATTCGAATTAGATTTTTTTTTTTATTTTATGTTTTGTGACGAAATCGCGTCATTTTGAGACATAATGGGCTATAGGAAAGCGAGATTTTACTCTACACACTCCATTTTCACATCGTCAGGAAACGTAGGCACTTAGCTACTTTACGAACTTAATAAATTTCCTGTTTCAATAAATCGATTAATACGAGTTTATTTAACAAAGGGAGCTGAACACCTTTTCAATGGGATTTTTTCTAAAAAAGTTTATTTTTAAAAATGTAATGTTTATTTTTCATTGATTCTTGGACACGTTAAACTTTCATCCTTGCGACTGCTTTTACAAAAAGAATTTTGGAAAAATGATAATATTTTGTATTTTTTTTAAAAAAATTTTTAATGAAGCTTCCGAGTACACTTCTCACATCTCACATCTTTAAAAATGTAATTTTGGCAACAATTTTCCTGTCTTATTGTTGTTGATAGATTTTTGATGAAATCGCATCATTTTGAAGTTTCATTCTTTTAGAAATATGGGTTCGGCAACAATTTTTCATCGTATTTCTTATGTCACTGTTTTTAAGAGATTGGCAAATTTCATTTTCATTTTTATATATATGTATAAAATATTTTTATTGATTTTTTTTTTTTTTTTTTTTTTTGATAAAGTTGTTGGCAGAGTAAAATTCTGCGCGGAATTTTATGTTTTTTGAGTTGCTTTCATGTTATTTTTTGCTTATTTCACTGTTTGTAAGATACTGAAAAGTTTTGCATGATTTTTTTCCTTCAACGGAAAGATGGTTAATTTTTTTATTAGGATAATTAATATTTGTATTAACATATTTTTTTTTAGTTTAAATAAAGATCAAAATAAATAAAGTGCGAGAAATTTAGTATTTTCTACAAATTTTTGAAAATATTTGAAAACAGCTTTACAAATATGCGATTTGTACAGCTGTTTACAAATCGCATATTTTGCACAATATTTTACAAATCGCACGCGATAAGTTTCATGCTTTAAAGATAAAAGAAATATCTGTCATAAAAGCAATCAAGAAATATACTCTTTTATAAATAACTAGCAGCTTCGCTGACTTTTAAAAGTACCAGAAAAATGGCTGAAGGGAACACCAAACGTTAAATTTAAAAACTGAGTAGAATTTTACTCTGCAGAACTGATATAGCTTATTTCATTGTAATTTTTTTTTCTTGAAAATATAAGATAAAATATCATTAATTAAACTTTGCTTTTCAGAATTTTTTTTTTTTTTTTTTTTTTTTTTTTTTTTTTGTAGTCTTTTATGTTAGTTATTGCTATTCATGTTTTTAAGAATTGAAAAGTTTTGAGCGATTTTTTTAGGAAACAAAGTTCTTAAACCTCCTTATACCATTTAAGTTCTTAAGATTTTGCAAGGAAAGTTGGTTAATTTATTTATTAGGATAATTAATATTTGTATTAAGCGATATTGCTTATTTTTGCAAATAAATTTCTGCGAATAAATATTTGCAAATTATATTTATTCGCAAAAATATGTAACGGAAAAAAATGCTATTTCTATTCAACGTAAAACAAAACTGTCTACAGAACATAGAAAACCGTTGTTACAAAATAAATCTTCTGTGTCAGAAAACAAAAACTCGAAAATAATCGTCGTTGTCACAAAATGAAAACCAATCTTTGTAAAAGTCCACAAAAGGGGGGAAACCTTGGGAAAGAAAACATTATGTCATTCAACACGCCTGCTCACTTTCGGGCGTCACTGATGCAAGATGAATATCATAAGTTGTTCACGCCTTAAAATTTCTGAAAAAATGCAAATTATAATACTTCATTTTGAGATGCTAAAAGATTCCAGATTTAACTACTGCCATTTTTTACATTTAGTATATAGGAAGTAAAGGTTCCCGTAAAAATTTGTGAGTACAAAAGTTCGTTTCGATAAAGAATACACATAAAATTTAATTCAAATTCTAAAAATGTTATAACCAGTTAACTCAACGCGTTTAGGGCTGAGTGGTTAAGACAGCTGAGTACCGTTAGTTCGATCCCAAGGAAATGGGGTAATTGCATGGTTTTTTTTTTTTTTTTTTTTTTTTAAATTTTATCAGTATGGTGAATACGAGCAAGTTTCTCTTCAAAAGTTCTTTCGGTTAGGCAGATAGCCCTTGGATGCTTTGCGGTGTTTAAATAGCCCAATATAACCTATCAACACTTGGTTGTCCAAATTGTTTGTCCTGGAAATGTGAAGGCTTTTCAATCAATTTCATTGTATCGAAATACAGTTGCGGAAAGAGTTACTGATTTAGCTGCGAATTAAAGTGATCAGATCAAAGCAAAATCATCTAGTTTCGAAAGTTTCTCCATAGCCTGTGACGAGAGCACGGACATAGTGGCAAGCCTCAATTAGCAGGTTTCTTCGTTTCTGAAAGAATTTTAACATTTTGGGAATTACTGGAACTAATACCGATGCCTGGTACTACCACAGGAAAGATATATTTACTTGTGTTTTGGACTTCTGCAGAAATACAATCTACCTTGGGCAAAATTAAATTCTGTAGCAGCTACAGATGGCGCTCCATCAGTGACCGGGAAAACAAGGGCTTCGTAGCATTACTAAGAAAAAAAACTTAGTGAAATTCACGGTTTCAAACATTCATCATATGCATTGTTATACATCAAGAAGTTCTATGCACGAAAGTAAAAATATGGAAAATGTTTTGTCATATATAAAAAAAGTTATAAATTTTATAAGATCTCGAGGTTTAACTCAGCGTCAATTCACTGCTTTCTTAAGTGAGTTAGATAGTGAATATTCGGGTTTGTCCTACTATTTCGAGGTACGTTGGTTATCTTGCTCCAAGATTTTCAAACAATTCTGGGATTTGAAAGAAGAAATATGTCAGTTTTTAAAAACGAAAAATCAAGACGTAAAGTTTGTTTTACGATCCAATATGGATACAAGATTATCTTCTTGGTTGATATAACCAAACACTTAACGATTTAAATTTATCGTTACAAGGAAAAGATCATATCATTACGACATGTTTGAATAATTAAAGCATTCAAATGTCAACTAGTTCTTTGGGAAAAACCAACTTGAAAAATGAAGATTTGACGCACTTCCCGACGTGCAGCATGAACAAATCAAGTTTAGATGATACTGTTTCGTATCAAAAATACGCAGAAAAAATTGCAAAATTTAACAATGAATTTGAAACGAGGTTTAATGATTTTAGTTCCCTCGAAGACAAATTTTTTTTTCTTCGATTTTCTCAATAAGTATTGACTCAGTACCAGCCATATGCAAATGGAGGTGATCGAGATTCAATGCAACTCAAACTTGAAAGCAAAATTCATTGAAGTGGGGGCGTGCCTGAATTTTACAAATATTTACCAGCCAGGTTTGAAAATACTCGAAAATTCGCATATGAAAATTATTTCCATGTTTGGTAGCACTTATCGGTTGCGCAGAGCAGTTATTTTCAGTCATGAAGGTAATAAGTATCCTATTAGAAACCGTATTAAATGTGCTCACCTGGGGTCAGCGTTGAAAGTTATCACTGCAAACAAAAATTTCTCCCGAAATAGGAAAGATATAACAGAGAGAGATGTCAAGTATCAGGACGTAAACATTAAATTTTTCTTGTTTTTCTATATAAATTATATATATGTGTATTATTGTATTATTCGAAATAAATCTACGTTTCTATGAATATTGATTTTATTTATTTTTTTTTTTTTTCGGCCCGCTTAAAGTTAAACCCTGTTTGTTTGGCCCAAGTGTACCTATGAGTTTGACATCCCTGATGTAGAACCATTATTATGGGAAAGAACAGCAAATAGTTCTTCACTGTTAAATAATCAATTAATTAAAAAAACTGCTCTTTTGGGGGGGGAAAGAAAATTAACACTTATCATTTTTCCTCTTTTTATTAAATTTTTAAAGTTCGGAAATTTCTACAAAATTAGAAATGACGTAATAAGTCCAATCTCATGAAAATTTCCTTTCATATATATGCCGATAAGTTTCATATTTCCATTAATCCTTAAGTTGCAGGCGTGTCATGAGTAATGGTGGTAATCCGAGTTTAGTGGCATAGTTTTCAACATTTCTAATATTTTTTCTAATGGTTATAATGCAGAAGTTTTCTAAACTAAGACACTGCTTTGATTTACCAATAGCATAACTTAATAGATGAGTATTTTTCTCATTTAATTCTTGCCCTCTTCTCCATCGTTCTAAAGTTATTTCCCTATCTAGGGCCCGTAAATTAGCGCCAGAAATGATGAGTAAATCAAGCAATCTCTGGTTTCCATACTTACATGCATAGTGCACTGGAGTATCACCAAAATTGTTACATCTGTCGATGTCACTTCCAACAATAAGAATTTTCCGAACCACAGTTTCAAGCTCTGCCCGGACAGTTAAATGCAGAGCAGTATCACCAACATAATTAGCAGCATTAACATCACATCCACGGTCTATCAACAGGATACCCAAATCTACATATGGAGAATTTTCATTTTTAAGGGAATTTGCAGCACGTTGAATATTCATATGTCTTACTATAGCAATCATCAGTAGTGTTCCATGCTGACAATGGGCAAGGTTTATCTATGAAAGAGAAGAAAATACCATAAAATTTCATATAAAATATTTTAATAAAAAAAAAAAAAAAAAAGAAATCTGAAAGGTTTCAGATTTTAAATTACGCCCAAAGGCACTTTTTTTAACATTTTATACGTTACCTTATTTATTAAATATCATGCTTTTCGCACTTCACTACATAGTATAAAACAAAGTCGCTTTCTCTGCCCTTATATATCCCTATGTATGCTTAAATCTTTAAAACTACGCAAGGGATTTTGATGCGGTTTTTTTTAATAGATAGAGTGATTGAAGAGGAAGGTTTATATGTATAATAACATCCATTAAATAGTGGAGAAATACTGTTATTTTTGAGGTTTCTAATGTGATGTCGTAAATAATTACATTTTTTCCGCTTACATTGCAAACGCAGGCTGAACCCTACGAGATTTATCAAAATAATGTACTAAGTATTGTACACATTGAAAAGGTCTACAGATTTAAAAATTGCGGGACGTAGCGTTTGCGGCGGTACCGGCCGGCGGCGGGAGCGTGCCTATAAATAGCGCGTCGGAGGCCGCGGTTCTCCCTATAGCACTTTGAATTTAGCAGCGATCGGACGCGTTTATTATCGGAGCTCTCTAGCTTTCAGCGCGACAACGTATCAGTAATTATAAGTAAGTTACGATAAATAATTGTATGATAGTAGTTTTAAAATATAAATGATATTCTATTCTAAGGTTAATTTTTAAATCGCACTTATAGTAATTATAAGTACATAAGGTTAGATAAGATTAGATTAAATAAAACCATAATTTATGGATTGGAATTTTCTATTAAGATCTTGGTTAAAATTTAGAGTTAAATCAATTTAATATTAGGGAAATTATTTTCAAAAATCGTAATTTAAGGTGAGGTATGTAAGTTCAGAAAAAGATTATGAACTGCGATTCATTGTTAAAATATCCATTAATATTTTATACTCGTGCGAAGCCGGAGAGGGTCACTAGTAAACTATAAAATTCAGTTCAAGAGCAATATCGCAAAATAATTTTAAATTGGGCATATCTTTAGTATTTTCCATACATAATCTCACGTGCTGGAGATAAAAATGTTTTTTCTGTACAACGTTGCCATTGCTCGCTTTGAAGTCCCTGAGTTTGTTAATCAAAAATTTGTTAAAATGTTACCAAATATGAAATCGGTAATAAAACAAATTACAAATTTCAAATTTGGGCGTCCAGATACCGATATTCGCAGTCGCATTACGTCATTCAAAATTAGATGGCTCTAAGGTACCGTTTTATCACAATGCGAGAAATATACATACACTTATGCAGATTCTTCGTTATTTAATTTCTTCAAATATAATGCAGGGCAATAATATTTGGAGGCAACAGTTTGAAACGTGAAACGGATATTCAGAGTTATTCGACGCAAGATCGTAAAACGAAAGCAATAGTCCCTCAGGGACAAAACCCTTGTAGACTGATAAGAGTTACATAAGAGAAATGAACTAAAAAAAACCTGCCGCCCCCGAAAAGAAATTCTCTTCATCTCAATAAAGGCTGTCCCAGAAGAAATGTCCCGGAAAATGCCGATCTGTTGAATTAAATTAAACACTGAGTTTCATGCACTCATCATTGTGAACATGATACTCTGTTCAAACTCTGTTAAAAAATATTTATATATATGATTATATATATATATATATAATCATATATATAAATATTTTTATAATTAAACTTAATTTTTCACGAATTTCTCAATACAGCTTTCTAAAATCTACATATTCACTAAGGAATTTCAGTTTCAAAGATTGCTGATCAAAACAAATTTAAAACTATTTGCAATTATAATTAGTTTAAATAATTTGGGGATATAGACAAAATCGCAGTTCTACTCATTTTGTTTTAGATTTTCTACAGTTATTCATTTTAGTTCATTTTAGATTTTCTTGTTTCGTAGCTAACGAGAAAATCCTTTCTTTAGCTTTCTCGCCAAATCAAATTCTGCTCATACAGAAACAGTTACATGAAGCCTCCCAGCTCTTATGTGGCAACACTAGGTGTTCTTAGAATGCTGCTGCGCACCTGTATTGATATTGAATAAAACAATAGCTACTACATTATTTAGGAGGCGTTTTAACGGTAAGAAATAATTAAAATTAATTTTCGTCGGTGTAAAAATCCAAATGTTGATAAGATCCTTTAAATACTTTTTTCAATATCATAACAATTCTATCTATTGAGCAACTTAAAAATGTAATATCAACTGATTCTTATTTTACGTTTTAAATATTGTTCTGTAATTTTCTACATTTTTTGTCTCTACATATGTTGTCTTAAACCGCGTAGGGGAATTTATTCCGCATTTGTTGAAAATCAAAGATTTATATTCTAAAATTATTATTCTTTATATTTTTTACATTTTGACATAGGAATACTGTTCAAAAAGATCAAAGTGGTCTGCTGAATGTTTGGAGGTTTTATGCAAAGAGACTTATTCCCCTTGAAAAGTCAGGATCTTTCTAAGGAACCAGCAGCAATATTGTCTAAAAACAATTTTGAATACATACGTAGCATATTCGGAAACTAAGTACCGTTTCATTCTAGCGCCGCCGCAGCGCTGTGGTAGGCGTCCAGCGCATGTGCACTAGTCTTTCTTGTTCACTGACTTTCAATTTTCGCCATTTTGGTTGCTCTATGTTGTTTTTTCAGTTTGCTGTGCACATTCAAAATGTTTAAGACAATTAGTTCTCCCGCTGACTCTGAGATTCGTGCCGTGATTAAATTTTTGAACGCGAGGAATGTTAAACCGGCCGAAATTTATCGTCAAGTGACAGAAGTTTACGGTGAATACGCGATAAGTGATGGAATGGTGAGAAAGTGGGTAAGAATGTTTAATGCAGGTCGAACAAATGTCCACGCCGAGGCTCGGAGTGGTCGGCCTTCTGTTGTCACCGATGATTTGGTAAGGAAAGTTGATGAAGCAATTCATGAGAACAGACGCTTCACAATGACAACTCTTTCAGAGGCATTTCCACAAATTTCACGTACTGTTTTGTTCGAAATTGTGTCTGACCGCTTGAATTATCGCAAACTGTGTTCCCGATGGGTTCCAAAAATGCTCACTGATGTTCACAAAACAAAGCGACTTGGTAGTGCCCTGACATTTCTCACGCGGTACAGTGATGAGGGGAGAAAACTTTTTAAACCAAATTGTGACAGGTGATGAAACTTGGGTGTGTCATTTCACACCAGAATCGAAACAACAATCGATGGAGTGGAGACACACTCATTCTCCGAAAAAACAAAAGTTCAAAGTGACAATGTCATCACAAAAAATCATGTGCACTGTCTTCTGGGATAGGAAAGGCGTTTTGCTTACTGAATTTCTTCCCAGAAGTGAAACCATTAATGCGGCACGATATTGTGAGACTTTAACAAAACTAAGGCGTGCCATTCAAAACAAACGAAGAGGAATGCTCAGTAAAGGAATTGTGTTGCTCCATGACAATGCTCGGCCCCATACTGCTGGTGTCACTCAATCGTTAATTCGACAGTTTCATTGGGAGCAGTTCGATCACCCGCCGTACAGCCCGGACTGGCGCCGTCCGACTATCACTTGTTCCTGCACATGAAGCGCGAGCTTGGTGGCAAGCGCTTTGGATCTGACGATGACACGAAAAATGCTGTGGAGTCGTGGTTATCGAAACTGGCGGGAAGTTTTTTTGACGATGGTATACAAAAACTGGTCACCCGCTATGACAAGTGTTTGATCATTGGCGGAAACTATGTTGAAAAATAGTTTAAGACATGTATTTTCATGTAAAAATAAAATTGGATTCGAAAATTGTTTTACTATTTTTTTTTTTTTTTTCCAAAACGGTACTTAGTTTCCGAATACGCCTCGTACATTCGTCCCCACAAACATTTGCACCTGAAATCCCGAAATTTTGAATTTCGAATTCTACTTTTATTTACTTCATATTTGTACAAATTTAATCATTATTTTATTAAAAACTCAGCAATTTCAAAGCGAGCACTAGCAAAACTGTTGGAAATAAAATAATTTTATCTCCAGGTTGTCGCCATTTGAAAAAATTATCTTTCAGTTTTAATCAAAAAACCAGGGAGGTTAGAATATATGGAATAATCATGACGTTACAAATGTGAAGCCAAGAAAATGTCAATAAAGTATCATCAGAACTTATTATGGTCGCCTTACAGCGTAGGAATAAGACTTTGAAACACGTTGTTAAATAAAATTACGAGAGAAAATATCAATGTTCACAGGCTCAGAAAAGTATCTTTAGGAATAATTTGCGTGAAATTGCATTGAAAATTTGACTGGTCTTGCAGGTTTTACTATGTGTACATTTGTTTTACAATTAGTCCTTAACACATTTTCTTATGCCTAGATTTTATTAAATCTGAAACGGTTATTTGCAGTTCTTGTAGTTTTTCTATATATCAAGTAGATAATCAATTATATTACCTAATAAAATTAGAACGGGATAATTATAGATCTTCAGTGATGTATAGGTAATATATAGATATCAAATAGAAAGCAAATTCAAAACAACCAGAAGGCCCACCAGCGGCCGAGCGGTAAAAGCCGCTGAACACTGGTAGTTCGGTCCGGGGTTCGAATCCCGACGAATGGTCTGGCCGCATGGGCGTTTTTGTGATTCCCCATATGTAACGTGGATACGAGCCAGTTTCCCTTAAAAAGACCTCCAATGGGTATCCCTCCCTTTCCGTGTAGTGCCTAAAGGCGGAGCACGTAATAAGTCAAAAAAAAAAAAAAAAGAAGTTCGCCTATGACAGCGGCCAAAATAAGTCGAGACGTCACACCGTGACATGTCATGGCTTCATTTTCATTGCACGGGTCATGCGGAGAAGGCTTACTCCATTTATTCTCAATTATGTTTCAGTATTAAAATTAGAACGGGAGACTTATAAAAATTGAATGATATATAAATAATATATAGACAGCACCGATTAAAATGTAAACATCCCCCCCCCAATGGCGGGCCTTCAGCCGACTTCGGCTTGGCCACATTTAAGGTCAGGAGTGGTGGCCACTTTATTACACAGGCACCTAGTAGGTGGGCCACCTTTGCTTCCTATGAAGGGACGGACAGTTACAACTACGCGTTCTCCGGGATTCGAACACGGGCCCTTTGGTATCGCAGTTGGCCCTCCTAACCACTATACCGTCTGAGCGCTTTAGAATGTAAGGTCACCTATGGCAGCGACCATGGTAAGTCCTGATGGCATACCGTGACGTGTCATGGCTTCATTTTCATTGCACAAAACATATATATGGAGGAGGCTTACTCTATTTATTCTAACCTCCGTATAACAAACTCGGCTATGGATCAAGGATGAAGGCGTTTTGATTACGGAGTACCTTTGTAAATTAATTAAAATTACCTGCACATCAACGATAATAAAATGAATTAAATAAGAGTAAGCATTTGATAAAGGGAAAGGAAAGAATACCATTACGGGTTGAAAAAAGAAGCCAGATAAGAGGCTATGGGAAAGCAGTGTCCTAGCACTGCTGGAAATAAAAAATTTTTATATTTACAGCAGCAGGTGGTTGCCATTCAGTAAAACCTTCAGATATTTAACATTTAAATTTAATGTGTAATGCTTTTGAGTAAAAAAAGCTGGGCAATTGAAAGCAATCAGCACACTTCTTAGGAATATTTTTTCTACCTTTTTAATATGATTAAGGGGACATGTGACACATCGACTGGGGAAATGCAACTATTTGGAGACTAAAGTTAGTAGAATATAACTTTTCTCAAAATAAACATATACTCTAGATTCTTTTTTTCGTGTAAAATAGACAGATTGTAAATTATATAGAACACATAAAACGTAAATTTAAAGCTTAATGTTTTTAAAAATGCATTTTTAAATTTCTCTTACCTTTTACGAATCTTTTGTAAGAGTGTGCTAGTTTGGTACACGTTTCTTAAAAAATACCGCATCTAACTCTTTCAAATTTTGCAGAAGGTTAAAAACATATCATTTAAGAATAATAAGCAGTATTTTACATTTCACTTAGAAAGAAAAATATTAAAAATAAATTGGTAAAATGTTTTGAAAATCATAGAAAAAATGGTATTAAATTTTTAATATATTCAAAACTACTGATCATAAATTTTATATCCTGCTTAGTTTCAAAGAAATAGTTAAGATAAACAACTGTGGAAAATTAAAACCTTCTAGGCTGAATAGTTTTCAAGAAAAATTTACCGAAAGTGGAAAAAAAAAAAAAAAGTTTTGAGAAAAACTAAAAAAACAATTTAAACACTAATAATTTATAAAAAAAAAATAATTTTAACATTTTCCTGTACCATAATCATCTTGAACTGGCATATCTGCATCTATAGTTGTTTCTGTTTTATTAACTTATGTTTCTTCTGGCTATTTTAGAAAATTTTTGGTAAGCGAGAAGAGCCTCACGAATTCTATCGCAATCTACTTTCGCAAAACCTTTACCGTATAAAACCCTGGTTGTACTCCCAATAATTCCATTATTTATTGCGATTTTGTACACCTTCTTTAAAACATATTAACGCATCTAATCAACCTAATTTTAATGTGATGACACTCACAAAAACAGTTTTAGTTATGCGTATCCAGATGCAATTTTTAACATATCGACCAGATAGCCCCGCTGACGGATTTAACTTGGTCCACATAATGCACTTTGGTAGATATTGTGCTCAAGATGAATGCTGGGGCCGGTGCAAACAAATGTTGGGAGAGATGACAGTGCAGTGATGGAAGAAGGGTGCACTGCGGATGACGAGAACAATTTCAGGTACATATTTACAGAGTTATAGATACGTGGTTTCAGTAGGCATCCACAAGGTGAACAATAAATGAGTACAGGAGCAATATATGAGCAATTAACAGAGTGACTGATAAAACAGTAAAAATAATATCTAAAATAAAGCAAAATACTAAATAGCAAGACTGAAAAGCAAAATAATACATAAATAAAGTAAGGCAAAATACATAATCCAACGTTCACAATTCAGGGTTTACAGTTGAAGGAGATAACAATAAACAAAAACAAAAACAAAACAAAAAAAAAAAAGAGAGAGAGAGAGAGAGAGAGAAAGCTATCTTAATATAAAATAAATTCACTACAAGTACAGAGCATACGTGGGCTGTGCTGGTTACGAGGATGGCAGCTGAGAATTACTCCAACCTATCTGAGATTTTGTGTTCAATATTTACACAATCGCATGTACGCTTCAATGCATACCAATTTTTCGAAGTAGCTTCGGCCCATGCATGGATGTGGCCCGCTACTGGCTGCCTAAAATGATGCTCGGCAGTCTCTCTGCAAAAGAAAACATAGTCGTCTGGATCTCCTGCCATCCCGCATGAGCAATGGTCGTTTTCGCGTTGTCTGAAGCGATGCAGGTAAGTCATGAACGGACCATGTCCTGTTAGAGACTGAGTGAAGTGAGGCAAGCCAAAAAATATGTATTGACATTCTTTGGGCAGTGAAATTAGGGCGTTTATCAGAGTTGTACCCAAGCCACTTTTTAGATGCCGGCAGACTTTGGAAAAAATCTGTAAACTCTTCTGCCGGTGGTCAAGAACGGAATATATTGTCGAGAAACCGTCAATTTTCTAATTTGCACGCAATGTCTAGTTCGGGGGGGGGGGGGGCAAAGTGCGGCTCGCTAGCCTGATACGGCTCTTGCAGGCAATTTGTGCGGCTCATGCATATAAAATATATGTTTGAAATATGGTAAACTAAAACTATCCAGTGTCCAAAAGGAAGTAATTAATTAGTTTAGACTCTATAAAGTTATCAGGGATTTTTTTCTATTTTAAAACCTCCTCCACGACTTGTATAATGATGTAAATATGAACTTGTGGCTTATAGAAAATCTAGATGCGGCTCTGGAACATTCCTGAATTGAAACGTGCGGCTCTTACTGACATGAAGTTTGGCCAACCCTGGTCTAATTAGTAAAACAGCATATAGTGATATTCGGAAAAAATGAAAGCTAACGAAGAGAATCGCGAACTGTTTTCCAACAGGTAGACTGCCCACCAGCGGCCGAGCGGTAAAATAGCTAAACACTGGCACTTCCGACCACAGTTCGATTACAAGCAAACGGGCTGGTTGGCTGCATGGGCGTTTCCATGGTTTTTCCCATTAGTAAGATTAGTCCCATTAGTAAAATTAAATCTTACCAAATATATCATTATTACACTTTTGCTTTCAGACAGAATTGTCAGAAGTTTGGTTAGGGAAGAATTTGAAACCTTTCCCTGGAGGCACACAAAACTATTACCTAATCACAAACTGTTACCGAATTTGATGAAAAATCACTAAGTTTACAAATCAGCTAATCACTAAGCTAATCACTCTAAGCTTACAAATTCCTCCTTTAATTTCATTGCATATTGCTTATAGTAAAAATGTGTAAATAAATTAATTTTTGAAGATAAATATCAATTAAATTAAAAATTTAAACATTAATTCCATAATTTAAGAAACATTTTTTAATTTCTCAAAAGAACAAGAATTCATTTCAAAATTTTTTGGCTTATTCAAAGCATTCTGCCCATAAAATGGATTCATCCAATAGGATTCTGCATAGAGTTATTAAAGACAATAAAGATTGTCCTGACATTTAAACATGATTTATAAAGAAATAACAAAATAAATACACTCTATATTGGCCCGATGACACTCGGTTTTCCTGAGTATTTATTGTTTCCAGAGTACGTTATGACAATCTCATAAAAAATAAATCTGACCCACATAAATCCATCAAACAAATAGCTTTACATTTCTATATTAACTCTTGAAATTGATTTAATTATTTTGTATTAAAAAATGTTCTGAAATCTCTCCTGAAAAGAGAAGTTCGTGAACCGATAAATTCTTGACAGAAAATTAAAACTATGCATTTATTTACTAAAGCACTTTTAAGTCATTTTCAAGAAAAATGGGAGCTATAGTTACTTTATTGCCATTAAATTTACATGTCAGAATGTAAATTTCGAATTTATAAGGACATATATCGCCTAAAAATTAATATTAAACATGTACTCTTTAAAAGCACTGATTTGATTTGGTTACTTACGTTTGCACCAGCGTCTAAATGTAGAGATGCAATTGGTATCATATTTTCTGCGACGTTTAAGAGTACATCCAGTAGAGAAAATCTTTCGATGTTTTTTGCAACAACACTGCCTTGTGACAAGAGAAACTGAACAACCTCTGGGCATTTATAACAACAAGCAATGTTGAAAGGCGTATCTTGATAGTAATCAGGAAGATCAAGAATATATGGCGGCGACTTCTCAGTCAGGAACTTTATAACTTCTGAAAAATAAAGCAAACTTCAACTTCAAGCATACAATCGGAAACCAGAAAGTGGTTATCGATATTAGTTACAAATGGTTATCGGATTCATTTATATGGAGAAAGAAGATAGGAAATATTTTCTCAGTTTCTTAGGAAATATTTTCTCAGTTTCTTAGGAAATATTTTCTCAGTTTCTTGCAAACAAAAGTATCTGTTGAGAAAAATCTAGAGCAGAAACTATACCTCATATCTCAAAACTTCTCCACTGTTAAAAGTCATATGCAGTATATTCTTTAAGAAATGTAAAACATTGCCCGATTAATAACGCACGAAGAGGGTTTTTTTTTTTTTTTTTTTGTATAATTTTAGAAAATTTCAAAACTTTAAAGTAGATATATTTCTAGAATATGAAATTTTAAAATAAATAACCAACTAAAACCATAAAGAAAAGAAGAGTATCAGAACCGCGATTATTGATTGATTCTAAATGGCTTACTTTGTTAATGAATAACGGAGAAATTAAATCTGAAAGAGAAATTAATATCTTGCGCTTTCCCGAATACCAGTGGTTACGAGAGTGGAAAACAAATGTATTATCTTTCAGGCAATGGTAATAGCTTTCTTTCCAGTCACCAAGTTTTTTATAAAATTCGAATGAGTGGCAACACATTACTTTTAAATCACGATTTCATTAAAATCACAGAAAATATGTAATAAATAAAAAGCAAATTCGAAATTCAATGTTCAGTCTTCAACGTGTCCATATTCTATTCGATGACTACATGTATTAAAAATTTGGTCATTTTAGAAGCGGCCATTTTTCCACAAGGTTGGAACGAACATGTCATGCATACATACTGTAAAGACAGCGAATTTTCAAGTTCTACATGCACGTGAGCAGTTAAGCTTATAGCACCTATATGGTTTTAGAAAAACCATGGACTGAACTGTTCAGGAATTTTTTTCTAGCCCAGGCCTATTTGTGTCACACAGTGGACTTTCCTCTGTGAATGAGCATGGAGGGTCGCGCATGAAAGTTTCTTGTTTTCACTTTTTGACTCACTTCTCTGAGCCGTTCCAAAAAAGTCAATCAGCCCAATGAAATTTCAAAAGAGAGCAATGAAAGTGGTGTCTGGTCATTCCCCTCTCTACATTCTTAGCCCTCTTTTATTTTCCAAGTGTCAGACTGTCCTACATTATGTGCCTAAATCGCTAAATTTTAAACAACCGGACACGTCGTGTTCTGCACGATATTCTTGGTAAATAATTATTATATATTTATTATACATAATAATTATTTACCAAGAATATCGTGCAAAATACGATTATAATATTTATTGGTAAATAATAAGAAGTTTTTTTGATTCCGGAGATAACGTTTCGCTTTTTAAGGGAAAAAAAAATTGCTGAACAAATGCGTAAGACGACAGTGTGTTAATGTGATTAGGACAGTGTGTTAATGTGATTAGGATTTTAATTCCAAATAGTTTTTGTTGTATTATCCAGAAAATAAATGTTTCATACTTTTCTTGTCCTGATGTTCGTGATAGTGTGATATTAGAATGCATACGTGCAAGGTAAACAAAATATGTAAAAAGCAAACTTCTAACTTTAATCGGTAATGGCGTCTTATATTCTCCATTTTGTTTTGTATACTTCTCCTTTATGTGGTAAAAATAATAGCTGCTGATAAAATGTATCTATCTAAACTGTATCCTTTCAAATGATTCATGCCATACGACTTTATATGACGCTGTTAGGGCAGAGACGTGTCAGCCAATCAGTGAATAAATTTCAATTGAAGTTTATCATATATGTAATATACACATATCTTATAATTTTTTAGTAATCGTAACCTTTTTGACTCTCTTCCAAGCTACCTTCTGAACAGCTGCAATTTCCTGATAGCTAGCTTCCATTTAACACTTAGCGGCTCACTTCTATGTATCACCCATTGTCTTTGTCTTAGCATGTGGTAAAACTCCGAAAATATGAAGATCGTGTGCAGGTTGCGCCCTGAATTAAGAGTACGCGTCAATAATTATTTTGTGCAGATGTAGACTGTGAACCTACGGCTAACTTGTGTTCAAGCTTCATCATTATTACGCATATTTCATGTCAACAACATTTTCAATCTTTCGATGATTAGGATTAGTTTGTTATAATCACATACTAAATTATTGCATACTTACGCCTTTTCCATTATTTAATAATTGATATGGCCGTGAAATGGTCGGAAAAATGAAAGCTTTTAGAACATTCGCCATAAAATGAAGAATCGTATCAAACTAGTCGGAAAAACAAAAAACTCTTCGAACATCTGGCATAAAATGAAAACTAATATCAAAATTGCGTTTAAGTTCCATTTCAAATACTCTTTTTTCTGCTCTATCCGAGGGTGGAAGGTTTTAATCTTTTCGTTGAAAAGGGAATCCACATATGGCTTAGACTTGCATCAGCTTAAATATCACCACTTGCAATAATTTTTGCAAAACTGTGTGACTGTAATACATTTGTATAAAGTAAACTTTTAGCTATTTTTACAGAGTTCGGCGACAATGGCTTCAAAACGTTTTGGGGATCAAGAAGTGGTATGTCTTTATACAACTTTATATGCCCTTTAAACATTCTTTCCATTGATGAAATGGTGCTATCTAATATAAAATTAAACACAGTAACTTCGACTTGTTTAATAGGGCAAATGAAATTATAGTCGGATGATTCTTCATCGTCCATTTGTTTCACTTTTCGGCATTTTCTAGCAGTATTTCTTCTATGAGTATTTCTGAAAAACGCAGGCTTTCTAGTTTATTATTGTAATTCATTTTGATGCAGTCATCGCAAACAATTTTGATGCGTTAAATGTAAAATCGAAGTTACCTAAAATGGCTTTTAAAGAGCTTGTATGCTCCATAACCATATTATATGCCAGGATGTAATCTAATCCTTCAGTCTGCAAATATTTCGTTACTGGATCAGTATATCGAAATATTTTCAAATATACATGAGCAGACAAAATTATTCTAAAAGTTGGTATTTTATTTCCGAGCATCTGGCTGGGCGCCCGCTGTCCCTATCCGCCACTGCTAGTGTTCTAGATTTCCTCAGAGCATGTAAGGAAAACAAAATGCATGTGTTTAGAGTGTCTAGCGCTTATCCATATTTTACCAAAATAACGAGGCTGTATTCTTAAGATGAAAGACACCACCGTCCAAAACATTTTAAGGGAATGTGGGCGTTGTCGCGTTACACTTGAAGAAGCCTACGAAGACAAGTCATTCGCAGGGTTTTGAACGCTAGTTGAAGTTCCACAGTTTAGCGAATTTGTCCCTCGTCTTCTCGTGGGTTCTGCAAATTTGTCTGAAGAGTAAATGCAATTTTTAAAGCTGTCAAATCACCTCCTCGAATGATTAAGAAGATGTATCACTTGCATATGAATACTCCACTCCATATTATAATTTACTTTACTACTCTAGTTTTTCGGTTCGTATTTTCTGATGGAGGCATTTTTTTCGAACTAATGTATAATTAAATTTATTACTTATAGACTGCGAATAAAATGAAGTAAACTGTATTTTCCTATTGATGTAAGTAGTAATAAGAATTGTATAACAAAACAGAAATTTCAATAATAATTCATTTTCTATTCTCTTAATTAAATATTCAGTAAGTTAAATGCCTTTCTAATGTACAAGTTATTTCGTTATGCAAATGAGGAAATAAAAACATATTCAAAATATTTTTTCAACGTTACCTAAAGATGCAGTCATGCAAGCAATATGTAGAGCTGTTCTCTTGAGTTGGTCTGTGCTGGTAACATCGGCTCCCTTTTCTAGAAGCAATTTGATTAACTCGTAATCAGAAAGCTCGGCTGCCCGATGAAGCAGAATGTTGCTCAAAGCGTCATCATAATTTGCTATCCAATACCAAGGAATGCCGATTTCTGGAAATTCTGTAGCTGTTTAAAGTACGTAAATGTGAATTCATGTATGATTTATTAAAAAGAACTTTTAAATTTTCTTATTAAAATACAATGTATAACAATTACTGAAATCTCTGAATGGCTATTCTACGTAAATATTACTCGTATATTAGAAAGGACAATTTCAAGATTTTATTGTTATTGATTTAAAGGATTCATGTTAAAAAGGCACATTTATTGAAAACATGTAATATTATTAGCACAAATAAAATTTTTAGCTTGGAACTATAGCAAAAAAGAGGGCGGGAAATTCTTTTCTCTTCACAAATAGGTAATGGAAACAATTTGAAAGGCAGAATTCTTAATTTTAATACATATTAACATACTTTAGAATGAAACTTATACCATATCAGAGATACAGCCTTCTTAGCCCCTAAAGGGCTACCAGTCTCAAAACGGGATTTAGCATGTCTTAATTTAATGCCTTGTTTCTCTTTTTTTTTGGAGTATTTTGTTATTCGGGAAAATGTAAAATACTTAGCTTTAAAATTGAATCTGTGTGTTATTGATGAATAAACTAAGATATCTAAAAGTAAAAAATGCAGTTCTTAAGAATAATCGTTTTTTATCCTTTTGAATCTACTCCGCTAAATAGAAATATATTTAATTCATGATATGTATGTCATTAAAAAGGTTAAATAAATATTTTCATAGGAATTGTATATTTTTAACTTTTTATACACATTTTTTTCCATCTTAATGAGTTATTTCACTTTTCTTTAGAACCTTTTTCCATTTTGAAAAGTACAAGGTATTATTATCTCATATTTAATTATTCTATTATTGATAAAGAAACTAAACTTTTTAAAAGCGGTTCTTAAAAACATTTTCTAAAACTTTCTTTTAAATATTTTTTTAATTATTATTGAAAATTAATTATTATTTGAAAAAGGTGCATTTCGTTCATGATCTCTCTGGTTAAAAACATTAAATATTTTTAAAGAATTACACATTTTTTATTTTTTTAAATATACAGATTATAACTTTCTCATATTTAGTCTAAATGCACATTCATTTAATTTCCTGTAAAGTGTTTCACTATTCCACCTGCGGCATGTTTATGGGTAATATCAATTGATAAACCATATGAAAATTTTAAAGAGGCTCTCGCGCGAGGATTAAAATTTGAATACTTTCAGAATTTTTTTAATAAATACTGATATACGTTTCTCGGTAAAAATTATCGTAATTTGTCTTACTTATTAACGAGAATCATAAATCAAATCATGAGAGTAACAAAATTATCTCAGGTATAAATAAGAAAAATACAAACGAAAAAAACACTTTATATTATAAATTTTTAATTGAAGCCAAATTTTAACTCCGGCTTATTAAAAAATAAGTTAATCAATTTAATTCTTAAAAGTAAACTTAAATTTATTAAAAGGATGTAGCAGAATTTCAATAAATGAAGAAAAGATGTAGAGACAGTTTATTTCGGAAGCAGCAAATATGAGAAATGTGCAATGCCCTCGCCGGGACTCGAACCACGGACCTCTCGAATACGCGCCCAATGTGCCGCCCACTACACCACGAAGGCATGCTAAGAAAGCGGGAGAAATGCCTTATATACTCCCCCTATAAAAAGGCAACTGGGAATTAGCGGACCGAATCGCAAAATCCTGGTGGTGGATATCATCAATCACCACCTTTTTTAGTTCGGTCGCTACAGTAGAGATGGTCGGTTATTTCGGAAGCAGGAGAGATGCAAAATGTGCAATGCCCTCGCCAGGACTCGATTCACGGACCTCTCGAATACGCGCCGAGCATGCTGGCCATTACACTACGAAAGCATGCTAAGAAGGCGGGAGAAAATAGCCTTATAAAACGTTAGAGCGTTTGACTCCATTTTTAATTATTTTTGAATAAAATTTGACAAGTAGTAGTATTTCAGTTGTTTACTTTTTTTCAAAATCCTTTTAAACGGAAGAGATTACTTCAAGCATCAAAACAAATAAACACTACACGGAACATTGGTTTATCCCCAAAAAGGTAAAACTGTGTTCGTCAAGCCTACCAAGAAGTGATAGGAGTGATCCAAGTCCACTGAAATTGCAAAACTCACTTCGTTTTTAAAGGAACGCTTCTATTTACTATATAGACATCAAGAGCCGATTGGGAAAAAATTAATCTTTCCAGAATAGTGTGTTAATAAACCGCTTTTATTAACTTACAGCAACAAATAAAATTTCAATTTTAATAGTTTTTTTGTAATTATAAAACATGAATGATGGTATGAGAAAATAGACTAGCATTACCTGGTAGAGTAGCATTCACTTGCAAGAATAGATCCCGAGTAGATACTTGCTACGACATCTATCACCGAAGGGAAGATGTAATCCGCATGGGAATCTTGCCTTAAAATTCCTTTAATCGTTTCAGTATCATTGTTCACCCAAGCTTGCTTTGCAGCGTCAACGAGATTTTGTATATTCTGGAAAGGAGAGCAATTTTTCATTTATTTTAACAGTAAAAAGAAAAAAAATTAAAGAGAGCGGAGGAAAAGTCCGGAAAGGATTAACATTACTAAGCTTGAAGAATGAAAACTTTATCTTACTTCGTGTGCTCATAAAAATTTCCGACATAATTATGAATATATCTTTCATAATAATTTGTTTAATAAACTAATGTTTATTTATTTTCAACAAAGTATTTTGAAGTTAGGAGTTAATGAATTTTAATGGGAACTTGAATACAATATTATTTCAAAGGACTTGCACGCATTTATTACGAGCAGAATACACACCTTTTCCCTTTTTCTTAATTAGATCTTGTTGCATTCTACGGTTTAGTGGATTTGGAGTAATTGATAATAAAGCATGATGATGAATCAAAGCGCAATTTATTCGCCAGCAAGCAGTATTACACAGGAGGTTTTGCACACAGGAGGATAGTTCCAAAAACAAGTTATAATCATCAAAAGACTGCGTCAGACACACTGAAACAATTAGCGAGAAAGCTCACAGGTTAATGGGTAATATAAAGGTTAAGATAGCTTCACAGCAAAGCACTAAACTACCTCTTCTGACTCGGTCGATCGCTCTCAATCTGTCTCTGAAATCAAGACCCTACATTACATTACTTTCTCCCCGTACAAGCAGGGTATTTATAAGTTTAACCTTCCTTCAAGAATATTCCTGAGAAAACTGCTAAAAATACGTTCTCTTTTCGTCTATGACAGGGGTCGGCAACCTGCGGCTCCCGAGCCACATGCAACTCTTTGGATGTGAAGCTGCAGCTCTTTAGTTCCATACGCAAATATTATTTTTTTTTTTTAAATTAAAAATCGTTCTGAATCGATTAACGAGGATTAGGCACTGATTCTGAAATTTTGTAAATTGTAATTTTTGACTCTTCCGACTCAAAAGGTTGCCGACCCCTGGTCTATGACATATCTTCAATTTTGTCGCAAAATTTGGACTTCCTGCCACTTTCTGGCAGTTCTAAGCCCGTCCTGGCAGTTCTAAGCCCGTCTTTGATTCAAGCTGCTCAGACGGCAGACTTATTTCTCTGTTCCGCTAGAGGAGCTTCGTTTTCGACACGCTTTGCAGAGAAGCTATCACACTGCATAGGCGCTGTGCGTTCAGCAAAAATATAATAGCAATAAACAGAAGAATTTGAGTGACCGAATGGCAAAAAGTTATGCATTCGCACGAAAAATTAAAATGGACCAAAAAAAAAATAATCTTTTTCCCACTTTCTCGATTTAACAGTTTTAATTTTTTTAAAGATTTATTGTATTACTAGACGAAATGAAACGTGCAGACATATCATTGGCAGAATTTCGAAAACATCATATAACATAACTCATCAGTGATTCAGAAGCTTCAGTCAGCACTGCTTGAGTCTCAGATACCATTTCATTGATCGGGCGTCGGTCCATTCAAAACAACGCCTCACGAAAATGTGCTCCTTGTCGGAGTAATGGCATAAGAAACCGATGAATGTATTCTTGCGAAAAATGCTATGAAGGGTGTCTGTGTTAATTGCTTTAAAAATTTGCACGAAAGCAAGCTGTCTCTTCTAATTGTAAGATCTATTAGTATACCACACAGTATTACCATCCAATACTATATAGAATACTCATCACCAAATCTATTTTTTCGGTACAAAACTTTCTCCTGATTTCGCTAAGATTGATTGGAAAAGATGTAACCTAATATTTTGAATAAATAATTAACTACGACTAGGGTAAATTAAAAATTTTTCTTTGTCTTAATGCGTAATATCAAAAATCCCTTATTAATGCTACACCGCCTATGTGTTTTATTGACATAAGGGATCAAGTAAAAATACTTTAAGAAAATTCACAACTTCATGGTATACTGAACCCTCGTATATTACATTACATTACAAAGTGTCGCAAATTTCTTCAAAATGAAACACAAATTCTTGAGAAAAATTTCTCAACACTTGAAGGTCTCCTAAAGATAAAAAAAAACTAACTTTCCGTAGATCGATAATGAATTTATCAAAAAAACTTTTCTCACCGTTAGATATCAAATTCGCAAAATCACTGAAAACGACTTTACTGACTTGATACTACTTAATAACGACAAAAGGTTTGTTTACAAAACTAATAGACTAATTGCCGAAGGTATTTTGTTCATTTCTAGTGTTGCGAAACTAGAAACAAACGATTACTAAAATTTAATCCTTCTGCATAATAGTAGTAAATAGTTTTGTAGAATCTGGGCTGGTAAAATTATGAAATGTTTTGTTTTACTTTGTGCAATTAAAATAATCATTTTAATAAATGGAATTTTTGTTGTATGAAAAACAATGTGAGATTTTATATTTTCACATTTGTATAACATTCCCCTAAAAACTGAGAATGTTTTTCAAAAGTAACGTTAAGAAACTTTGTCAATTCAACTATTTAACTGCGTCTGTGATTTAAGGAAATAAGAGGCTGTTGCCGCTGACTTCAAGTATATAGCCGGAAATATCTGTCAAAAGCCGATTGTCTGTGTTCAGTATTTAAATCTAATATTTTAGAATACAAATTTTTAATATTATTGAAATCTTTGCGCGTCTGTCTGTTCATCTGTAGCATCAGTTCCACTGGAACAGCGGATGGTTGAGTTTCGAGGGAGGTACCGCCCCCGGATTCCAAAAATTCATTGGAAGCCATTTCGACTATTTTCATTTTCGTACGAATTTAATCAGCCGAGATATTAATAAAAAACTCTGAAAACGCCAATTTGTATCCTGCAAATTACTTTTTTTCCTGAACATCTTTGCTATTCGGCTTGCTGCGTCAAAGCTCCTACGAGGTGGAATTTCAAAATTGCCATCTTTTCTGAACACATAGTAAAATTTTGTATGGAGTCACGCGGCCCTTTTATTCCTCTGCCACTTTTCTCTGTTTTTTGATAGTGATTTTTTATGAAATTTTCTTAAAAAGTATGGGATTTAAAAACATTTTCCTGTTTGTCGTTTAAATTTGAAATATCTCCGCGAATTTCACATATCATTGCTGTTCAGGTGTTCATAGAATTTATAAATTTTGCTTTGGCCGCCAGCCCGCTTGTTAGTATTAAGCTGCGTTTACACCGACGCGGTCACGCGTTCGCGCGTAAAGCGTTAACCAATCAGAAGCGAGTTTAGAGGCGGCATTTGCCGGATGGTCGGACTTAACTTCAACTTTTTGAAGCGTCAGTTTCAGGCATCTCCTTTCAAACGTCCAGTTTATATCATGTTTTTTAAATGATTGCACTTTCAAAAACTCTTCTTGATTGAAAAAAAGTCAAATCGACTCATCTTAATAAAAAATACGTATGCTAATAAAATAAATAGCTTTATAAATTATTTAAAGGAAAATTTTCAAGTTTATTAGCAGTAATAAACCTTAAGACACAATAACACGCCGAACAAATGCTAATTCAGAAGTCAAACAACAAAAATCAGCGTTATATTTTCAAATTTTCACAGGACTAGTTTCGATGGTTTTACCGAACCACCATCCTCAGCTGCAAAAGCGCAAATGATGCTGAAGTATTATTAATATATTATTAATATATGAAGTATTATTAATATATGAATGACTAATTGAAGTAATTGCTGTTACATTTAAAGTAAAAAATATGTACATAAGGCAAAAACTAAAATATTTTTTTAAAAAATTGCTATTTTTAATTAATTTAAAAATAACTGCTTTTTTTAAGTCTGATATTTAATTTAGTAATGCTGTAAATCTTACATATATTTAAACAAATTACACTTTTTTATTACATTATTTAAACCAATTAAGGGAAGTTTATTTAAGGAAGCATTTAAGGCAAGTTCCATACATCATGCAAAAACTTTTATGGTATTCTACTCCATGAAATATTTACTCTCCAAAATAGAATCATGCAATTAGGATTATTTAATTATCATTCAAAAAATTCATAAATAAATTAAATTATATGTATACAGCGTTTGATATATACAACCATCCTTTTCTGGGATATCTTATTGCCATCTTCCATAAGATTCTTTTCTGCGATATTCTGACAAAATATACTGTTCTGTTTTTCAATAAGTAGATCAATGAAGGCTAGAAATTCATCGAATGGATGATCTGTCATGCGAAAGTAATTAAAAGAAATTTCTTTTCGTTCAAGTGCATTTCTTCAATTAAATTATTTGCATCTCCTTGCTGCAGTTATCTCTCACATATTAATATAAAATCGTAAAAAGTGAAAATACCACATAAAAATTTCAGGTTTTTTTCCCCCCCAAGTTTCCAATATGAAGCGCCATCTAGTGCGAGCATATGACAACTTTTAAAGCGAACGTTGCCGCGCGGCCGATGCTATTCGCACCAACGGTGCGATTCATGGAGGTAAGAAAACCTCCTTAGTGTCAGGGATAAATAGAAGGGCTAGCTCATTTCTTTGTTCGACTCCTCGCCGACGCGAGCCTAGTCAACACCTCCTTCTTTGGCCTAGTGGGGGGACGTAACAGGCAATAATCTGACGTCACTGTGATGCCACCTGTCCTGATTTCCCGCGTTTAAAACAGTAGTTTCATTGAGCTGCGAGACGATTTTCTAGAGGTTACATATCCCAAATTAATTTTAATAATATATATATATATCTGTTTTCTAATAATGTATATATTTAAAATAATTTATATATATGTAATTTTAGTCAGTTTTTATTTTAAATTCTATATTGTAAAGTATCGTTTACGTAATATGGCTTTTTGCGCGGCAGTAACGTGCCGTAGCACTTACAGAAGTATGAAAGAATGAGATATTTTACTTCATGGGACCAAACGATCCAAATGAGAGTTTGCTTTTGACGAAAGAATGGATACACAAATGTCAAAGAGAAGATTCTATTAATGTGAAGAGCGGAAAAATCTGCAGCGAACATTTTCTATGCAGTGTTTATGAATGATATGAAAAATCGCTTGTTTGGATAGCCACAAAAAGAAACTATTGAAATGGAATGCTGTGCCGAAAGTAAATTATGATGACAATAATAAATCGAAATTGATGATGGCAATAATAAATCGAATTTTAATGATTTTGAAATAAAACTCACAAATGAAAATGTAGATCAGCCTGAATGTTTAAGGATAAACAAGAATGCATTGATAATTTGAAGAACAAAATAATATCCTTAGAAAATTGTATTAAATTGTATTAAAGTATTGAAAAATAGAGAAAAGAAAAATTTTAGAATGTTTGTTCAGTGACAAAGAAGGTGGACGACATCTAGACAGAAATTGGTATCAGAAATTAAAATCTCAAATAGCGAAATTTGGGGGGGGGGAGCACAAATCGGAGAATTTGGAAAAATGTCTAAAGCCTATTTTTATAAAGACGCAGATTAATGCATTACTGAAAAAGAAGAAAAAAATCAGGTGGACTAGTGAAAATATCTCATGTTGCATTGTCATAACAGCTCTGTCATCTTAAAGCTATGATTTTTGGAAAGAAAAAAAATTAAGAAAAAAATTGGAATATCTTTACCTAGTATTATCAAATTAAAGAAATGGTGTTTATTTTATAAAAAATAAAATAAACACCATTTCTTTAATTTGATATTTTTTAGTGTTTTCTAAATTTTAGTGTAGTTTAAGAATTCAAAATAATTTCAAAGTAATGTTCTTACTCTAAAGAAGGAAAGTAATTCAAAGAAAGATATTCAAAGTAATGTTCTTACTCTAAAGAAGGAAAGAGGCGAATATTTGTATTCTGTAGAAAAAATATGCGTTCTCAGTTTCGACGAAATGCATATAGATTGGAAACTCTGCTATGACTCTAAACTGGACTAAGTTGGTTCTTTTCAAAATGTGCAGTTTGTTTTAATCAGAGGTCTCATTTCGCGCTCTGCCTCAAATTACTGAGAAACCGCGTTTTAGATGGAGTATTTGTTTTAGAAGATGTAACTGTTTTAAATTTTAATATTATTAAAGAGGTTTTAAATAGAGATTGAGAAGAAATCAAATTGTGTCACAAACTAAAACCAAATTATTTAATGGTCAAGAAAACGAGAGACAAAAAGTTGCTCCAGAGAAAACATTTTTTTCAAAAAGTACCGCAAAAGGTATACTCTACCCCACAGGAAATCAGAAAGCATCTGACTTCTATGAGTTAATCGATAATATCTTCGGTATTATGAATAGTACCAACAAGAATAACAAGTATTTAACAAACTAATTTTGTTAAGTACTTGTTAAAGTTATTCTTATTGTATCCTTTGTAACTAATTATTGATTAGATTTTGAGCTAGATTAGCATTCTAGATAAAATATAATAGTATAAAACATCAAAGTAATTGGCATAAAAAGACCTGCTTCCCTTACTTACACTTTTGAAAAATTAAATAACTGTTTAGGTACTCTGAATAAAGCTATTTTGTCAATATTAAGGTAACAATCTTATATACATTTATTTAATTGTAATATAGATATAAGTATAAATTACAAAATTATTTAAAAAATATCTATTATATTGAATCGGAAGAGAATTATAACAATGTAAAATTTACAATTAGGCAAAAAATCAAACGTAGGTTAGCAGAAATGTTGCCATATATGTCATATATGTTTAAACCTATGTCAATGTAAAGTTGTTTTTTGAGTAAATTTAAATAGCTGCTATTATAGTTATCTTAGAAGCAGCATAAAAATTCTCTGTTAGCATGCAAATAAAGAAATGATTAGAAATAAACGTGTATTAAATAAAAAAAACCTGCAAATAAAATAAAAAAAAAAAAAAAATCACGGAACTTTATGTTAAAAGAGTAGCACATTTTATCTATTATTTTTAAATTGAGTAAGCATTATTAAATTTTTTAATGGTTCAGTCTAAAATGCATAAAGCAGTAACATTGCCCCTTCCAAATTATAGCTATCTTTCACACACAGCTCATTTTAAACGCTGGTTCAAAAACGCTAATTTCCAAGCCGTGAATTATATTGGCCCGCTCAGTGTCATCATGGCTTCAGGGGATGATGATTCTCACTTTCTTCTTCTCACTTTCTGCTTCAGGGTAAAAAGCTCTATGAGCTAGCCCTTCTCTTCTAAGTCCTGTTTGCATTATTGTATTACTGGAGTGTAAGCTTTGGTGTTAAATATGGTAATTTTGACATTGAAACAAAAACAAAAGCTTTTCTTAGTTCAATTATTCTTATTCCACACATCAAAATCTTTAAATTCATTCGACTAGATAATACAGAAACATAATACAACAGTAGAATTAACTTTAGTGATGTCTTTATAGATTTGTAGTACAAATGTAATTTCTTTCCCAGCTTGGATTTCTTATAAAAGTACATCGTGAGAAATTGTATTTTCTAATGGATTTTAAGGATAATAAATATTTTCATTATTCACTTCTGTGATTTTTTTTTTTTTTTTGTGTGTGTGTGTGTGTGTGTGTGTGTGTGTGTGTGTGTGTGTGTGTGTGTAGAGTGTACATTACTCTGAATGGCAGGTAACAGGAAAATGAGTAAACATTTTCATTAACTTTAGAAGAAAAAGTCACTTGCAAATTTTAATACTTTTAACTTTATTGTTTTATTTTAATTTGTGTGCTAAGAAAATATGCTTACTGATTCAGTGCCGATATTAAAGACATATTAGACAAAAATTAAAAATTTGTTCAAACAGATTTAATTTCAAAGAATGTGGAAACAGTCATAAATGAATAGCACAATTTAATAGTCAGTCTTACACGCTTTCCAAACCAGCATTTTTTAGAAGTGTAAAATATCATGATTTTAAAATACTGGAGTAATAGGTGGACGATCTTCCAAAACTTCTATGATGTTTTCAGCAGTCAAAGCACTCAGTCTCTGCATTGCTGTTTCTTCAGCAGCTGCAATATGGGGAGTGACAACTGAAAAAAATACACCTTATATAGTAAAATTTATTGAAAATCATTACGTTTTAAGTAACTAATGTCATTAAAGTAAGATGAAGGGTCCACAATTAATTCCGAAATGGTGTATCATTTTAAAATAAGTTAGTGACGTTAGAGAAAATTGGAGAAAAAATTTAAAACCTAACAAAAGTAAGTTACTAAGTAAACGTTCCTTGACGAAATTGCCATTCAAAATTTTATTTGTAACAAATGCATATAAAATCATACTATTTTTCCTAAAACATATTTCCCATTTTTTTATTATAATTTATAATTTCAAGCAAAAAAGGAAAACGTATATATTACTTAAGGGAAGGATTTTGATAACTTGGTTGCTATAGCGAATTCCAATTTACGCTTGACCCGGCACCAGAATTTCATTTTCAGCACACTAAGGTGTTTAGTACTTCCGCTCGGTAAAAATTTAAGGTAGTAATAATTCAAAACAAAATACATCTTTGCTTGGTTTGGTTTATTTTTTGATTATGCCAAAGCACTTGAGGGCTATCTGCCTAAGAAGAGGGACGTCTTCTTGGAGGACTTTGTAAGAGAAACTGGCTCCTATACACGTTACGCATGGGAAATACCCTTGTAGCAAACCCGTTTGTGGGATTCAAACTTCTGACAGAACTTCGAGTGGTCAGAGTTTTTATCGCTTGGTCCCTAGTGGGCTATAACTTTGCTTAATTGTTACTTAAGGGAACAACTGAGCTGGTGCCCTAGGCAGCAGCTTTTATTTATCATTTATTTATGCTTATAACACGCTTTGGGCGTCATATCTGCTTATATCCCTCCTTAAGTTGCCATACTTGTAGCCGATCCTAGTCTTCTTACTTTGTATTATGATGTCTTTTTCAATGAATTCATGAAAGAAAAAGCCCTTTCTGTCCTGCATCGCAAGAGCATTAACTGCATATGTTTTAAGTTTAATTAAAGCATTAATTTCATGAAGGTTTTTTCTGGGGAAGAAGTCGCATAGAGTCATTTTGGCCCTAGATTTCTTCCTTTATTTTTATTTTTAGTCCGAAGGGGCAATTTGCCCTGAAAGACTATTAATTTCGTTTTGGCATTTTGCGTCGAAATCTTTAAACGGCTGTATCACTTTTCAAATCGTTGCCACTATATATTATCGCCTTGTCTTATATTTAAAGAAATTAAATAATGAAGAATCTGCATAAACGTATGTATGCTTCTCTCATTATGATAAAACAACGATGCCTAGAGCCATCAAAATTTGAATAACGTAATCTTCCATAAAATATGGGCATGTGGGAACCCTAATTTGAATTTGAAATTTGTTTTATTATCGATTTAAGATTTTGTAACACTTCAACGAATTTTTGATTAAAATATTAAATGATTTCAAGCGGAAAACAACACTTCAACGAATTTTTGATTAAAATATTAAATGATTTCAAAGCGAGCAATGGCAACACGGTACGAAAAAAAAAAACTTTTTTATCTCCAGCGCGTGAGACACTGTATCGGAAATTCTAAAGATATCCTCATTTTAATTTGCGATATTGCTGTTAAACTGACTTTTATAGCTGGAGTACGTAGAACATGATATTTTTTTTAAAATGTAACACACAAAACGTTAAAAAAATGCTTCTTTGGACGTAATTTAAAATCTGAAACCTTTCAGATTTTTTTTTAGTCCAAAGGGATTTCAGTCCCGAATGACTATTGCTTTCGTTTTGGCATTTTGCGTCGGACTCATAAACGTCGGTTCACTTTTCAAACTGTTGCCACAAAATGTTAGAGTCCTGCATTATATTTGAAGAAATTAAATAATGAAAAATCTGCATAAATGATTGTCTATTTCTCGCATTGTGATAAAACAATGGTACATAGAGCCATCGAATTTTGAATGACGAAATCTTACTGCGAATATGGGCATTTGAAATCCCAAATTTGGAATTTGTTTTATTATAGATTTTATATTTTGTAAAACTTTAACGAATTTTTGATTTACAAACTCAATGCTTTAAAAGCGAGAAATGGCAATGTTATATAGAAAAAAAATACTTTTATCTCCAGCTCGTGAGACTGTGTATATCGGAAATTCTAAAGATATGCTTAATTTAACATTATTTTGCGATATTGCTCTTGAACTGAATTTTATGGTTTAAGTGCAAAGAACATGATATTTAATAAATAAGGTAACACTCAAAACGCTAAAAAAACGCCCCTTTGGACGTAATTTAAAATCTGAAAAATTTCAGATTTTTTTTTATTTATTTATTCAGTATTTTTATTTTTAGTTCAAATGGGCTTTGTCTCTGAAGGACTATATTGTTTCCGTTTTGAGATTTGGCATTGGTTCACTATAAATGTCCGTTTCACTTTTCAAACTGTTGCCACCAAATGTTAGAGTCCTGCATTATATTTGAAGAAATTAAATAATAAAAAATCTGTATAAATATATGTATATTTCTTGCATTGTGATAAAACGACGGTACATAGAGCCATCGAATTTTGAATTACATAATCCTACTGCGAGTATGGGCATGTGGAAGCCCAAATTTGGAATTTGTTTTCTTATCGATTTCATATTTTGTAAAACTTTAACGAATTTTTGATTAACAAACTCAAGGATTTCAAAGTGAGCAATGGCAACGTTGTACAGAGAAAACACTTTTATCTCCAGCGCTCGAGTCTCCGTATCGGAAATTCTAAAGGATATGCTCCTTTTAAAACTATTTTGCGATATTGCTGTTGAACTAATTTTATGGCTTAAGAGCGAAGAACGAAATGTTTAATAAATAAATGTAACACACAAAATGTTTAAAAAACGCCCCTTTGGACGTAATTTGAAATCTGAAGACCTTTCCTTTTTTTTATTATTATTATTATTATTATTATTATTTTATTTTTTTTATTTTTATTTTTATTTATTTATTATTTAATTTTAAGCAACAACGAAGGTGAGGTTTTTATTCGTTAATCAAGCAAGCTTATTAAGAGAAGTTCATATATCAGTTAATTGCTTTTTCCATTTCGTATAATTTCTTTCATCAGAGATCAAAGATTTACAACAATTTTCTGTGTATTCTTTTATCCTATATGTTGTTGTCAACCCTCTTCAGAGGTTAGGTTTTTTGAATTTTATGTAAAGCAGTTGTAACAGTCAAATTCTAACTGAAAACGTAGACGAATAGTGAAATACTTCGCAATGATATTTAAATCTAAGCTAGCTCAGAAAACCCTAACCTATATACTTAAATATAAGCAGCAATAATTCAGAGCAGAATAACTACAAACTTTTCAGAGCTAGCAAGAACTACGCAGCGTGGCCACGAGGAGCAGAAACACTGTCTTGCAACCTAAAATCCTCAGCTTTAATATTATCTAAAGTGATTTGCCTCTTTGGGAGGAAACGGAAAGAAGAAGTTATAGTAAAGGCTGAAATTATAAATAACTGGTTACTTTCAAATAATAACTTGATAAATGTACGATGTAGTTTTAACGATTTATTCACTTTAAAACTTGTTAGGCACTATTAATAATAAATAATTCACTCATGTATAATAATCCATGTAATACAGTAATAACCACACTACTTGATTATCGTTAGAAAGCAAGTGATTTTTCACCCCGTTGCGCCATTCAGCAGGCAAACAGAAGTGGGAACATAATTGATAAATCGCTATTACATGAATTTTATTATCTATATGAAATAAAATGTGTAACGAACTGCTATTAATTAGGTATAAGCTGCAATAAGGCGGTATAGTTAACACCTTGTCCATGTGTTTTCAAATGAATCTCATTCACCGTTAGAACGATTCTGGACATTAAATTATTTCGTTTCCTATTCTTCGCAACGAGAACGTAAGGAACATGTTACTTACTCATGGTATATCTTCGTTGAGTATTAGGTCCCGACTTTCAGTGTATGTATTAAACTCGCTCACATTATCAGGTTCAGCGTTTCCCCTTACTTGCTTTGGGAACATTCAAAAACCTGACTCGGAACAGGGAGCTTACTAAAGCTATGTTCAATAAATGTGGGAAGTAGACAAGATACACAGGAAGGGTATACGAAACCCTTTATTTTTATCACTCTTTACAATGATTTCCGGACTTCGGGAATACAGAGACCAACCACTTTTGGTCTGAACGTAAGAATATAAAAAATATTAACTAAAACTCTAACTTAACTAGCTTGGAATTAGTTTAACAAACAAGGGCCTAACGAGAAGATTGGCCGTATATTAAACAGGTTAAGCCGTATGTAGTACAGCAGAACTGTTAGCACTACAATACGTTTTAAAACTATCAAGAGGATTAAAACCTCTGGCCTGGAAGGCAACCAGCAACCGAGTAAAACTGTACAGAATGCAGGCAAGCGGCCTGCTTCTACTTCCCCCCTCTCCTCTCTCGCTTGGCAAAAAGCCACAACTTAAAGTACTTGGCGTTCGCCAGACAAATTTGCATAAATAAGTTAAAGCTTTTAATTCTGGCCGGAAGTAGAAAATAAGAAGTGATAGTAAAAATTTAAAATAAAATAAACGTTAGTAAAACTTAAGATCCTTACAACATGTGACAGATGACGTGATTCAGATGCAAGAGGGAATGACGATGTTGCTTACGTATTCTGCAAAACTCAAGGACTTGCCTGGGACGTTTTCGTGGATGGGTAACACAGAAAGAAGCAACCAGTCTAAAAATGTGCAAGATTTCTAAAGTGCTTTGCAAGAAGAATAGAGAAATAACAACTTTTCTGACTAACCTTATGAAAAGTGTACCAAACCAATAAAGAGCATGTACTTGTTCAAGGAGCCCATATTATCTCTTGATACCGTGAGGTCTGTTGCCTTTCAGGCGGAAAATTTTATTTTCTGGGATTATTCTATAATGCTTTACGAAAACTCTTCTTTTCTGTATACTGTTTTTTTATTTGGTATGACATCTATACTATCCCGGTATAACAAAAACCCCATAGTTCTCATGCATATTTAACATGTTTCCTTTCATGGAAGAATGTTCATTACTAGCTCTGTCATAAAATATTCTTAAGCAATTCTCAAAAATTAAAATGCTTCTGCAATATTAGATTACTTTGGTAACTAAAGTCTTTAAAAGTAGTACTTTTTAATATTTAGCATTCTACAATATGTCGTAATTGTATTGCCAATAAAAAGTGGTAAAAGCTATGTATATGAACAATTAACTAAAACTACATTAACCACACACGCACACACACAAAAAAGAGAGATTTTCAAGCTCGTTCTTACCAATATTCGGTAAAGAAGCTAGTTTATGATCTTCAGGCAATGGCTCAGGATACATAACATCAATTCCAGCAGCTTTAATTTTCTTGTTCTCCAAAGCCTCGACCAATGCTTCCTGGTCTACAACACCACCTCTAAGAGAGAGGAATCATAAATATGAGAAATGAATACTACATTTAAAATATCAAGATGGCAGCAAAAGACAATCATTTTCAAAATTTCAGGAAAATTAGCACGGAAGTGGATGACATCATAAATATCTTCAGCTTGAAGAAAACGTTAGGTTTACGGAGGAAGGAAACTTGAAAAATGTAAAGCGCCTTTCGCTGGATTCGAACTCCAGGATTTCCGATTGTTATCCGGACGTGCTTTCTATTTGCACCACGTAGGCATGCGTCAAAGAGGGAGGAAAAACCTTAAAAAGCTACTAACGAATAGCAGTGAAGTGCCACAGAATTAAACAGCCAAAGCTTTGACTGATTTTGCTTTATTAATATGCCATACCAATTGTATAAATTAAACAGCATGCTGAAACACTTTTATTATCCTATGGTTTACCAACAATAATGTTCTAGACACATTTGACCAATGGAGGTAACGGGTTTCACACTTTTAAAGTTTTACATTTGGAAATTTTCACCTTGGGCTGAAATCTTAACATTACTTGGGTTGTAGAGTCATTAGGTTAATTGGAAGCAGAAAAGATGAAAAATATGCAACCGCCTTCGCCGGGAATCGAACCACGGACCTCTAGAATACCGGGCTAGTGTGCTACCGTTACACCACGAAGGCACGCTAGGGAACTGGGAGAAATACCTTATAGGGTGTTTAGGAGTTTATTCAAAATACCCACGATTTTATTAGTTTACCTTCCTGTTACTTTATTACTTTACATTTCTGAATTAGTTTACCTTCCTGTCTGGGACAGCAAGGTAAACTAATTTATAAATACACAGATTACTCTTGCCTGAGACATCATGGTAGGCGAAAATCTATAGCATTGTGAAAAATAGCGGATGATTCATTTTATCGTGAATTATTTGGAAATCATCTAGAATGCAGATAGGGTCTGAACTCAGGTCTTCTTCGTATAGATGGGTAACTTTATCCCTAATCTCTCCACACCGGCAGTAAGATTTAGATACGTTTTGACTTAATAATGAATCTTAAATTATTTCTATTTTGATCTTAGCTTGACTGTGATACTACGATTTTCACTTTCCACAGTTTCATAAATGAATATTGGAAGAAGCAAGGCATCTACAAAAGAATAATCTAACGCCCTCTTCATTTTCCTTCTTTTCTTTCTTTTGTCTATTTTTGGTTTGGTTTTTGGACGTTGATAACTCATTACAAATCAGTCTTGAGCTTACGACGCTGATTCAGTGATATAGATATTGTACTAAGAAACATTAGAAGATACTACTACTAAGGACGAATCCAGACGCTGCTTGCTTGACAAAACTCACATATCAGGACTATAGAAGCATTTTTATTTATTGTACTCACATTTTTTTTGAACGGCCGATAATTTATTTTAAATGGCTAGACTTAATCCTTCGTTGTGAACCTGTCGGCCGTTTAGACGTCTCATTACCGACAGCGTTTCCAAAAATTCCACTTGCGAAATGGGGTTAAGAGACGAACACAAATGCAGTGTTATGTGTGTTTAAAGTGTCACTAAAAGCATGCACTTCCGTCTTACATGGATTTTGGACTAGCAACCAGCCTCTGCTAACCGCTATATAGTTCCAGGTTAACAGTATATCCACTTGGAACAATGATCTAGTGCGACGAATTAGAATAACAGATGAGGAAAGTGCTTTAGAATTTAAAGAAATTACTTTAGATTTTTGTGAAATTTTCAGATTATGGAGTTACATTTACAACGTGCTATGTTAATTCAAGTTTTAATTATCTAAGATTATAAAAGATTGATAAAAGTTTCTAAGATTAATAATCTAAGATTGATAAAAGATGCTCGTGCTCATTTCAATGCACCAGCATGGATTGGTTCTTCGACGCCGTCTTTGAAGAAATAGGTTCTGAAAAGTAAGAAAAGATTTCCATAATAATACCTTAACATTTCCGAGAAAAAAAATTAAAACTCAGTTTTCAGTTTTTAGCATACATCAAATATTTCTAATTTCCAGATTTTTCGATCCAAGTTTTATATTCTGAAGATCTGATTTCGTGGTTTTTACAATTTTCGCATTTTTTCGTCTTTCTTGGGTAATTTAAAATATATCAAAAAATATTTTGAAATCTCCTCAGTATGTAATGGTTTCTAACTCATAACTTATATTCTTGATTTTCACTTTTAAATAATTTAGGGACATTTATATCTTGACGGTATAACTAGCTTTTACTTGGGTACTTCGTGAAGTTCTTGCAAGATGGTTCATGTTTGCGTTCAAATGAGGAATTAACTTTATCTTTTCATCCTTCTTCAATATGCATTTATATCAACGACGTCATCATCTCTATATATGTTGCTTGGTTATATCTAACTACACTGATCGGATCATATCAAATGTGACTCTTTTCAGACCAGTCATTGGCTCACTTATAGAGCAGATTTGTCATGTTGAAAGTAGTGTTTCCTCCTAAGCTTTTAGACACGAAAAATCGAAAAATCCATGAAAACTACGGAATATGAAAATAGTTCATGCTAAATTTTTCACTTGCACTTTGCCTTCTGGAGACAATTAAGAAAGTCATTAAGTCTTCATTATGCTTTGCTTGCTTGAGTCTCTAGAAAGAACTTGCATAACAATTTGGACAGTTGCATAACAGTTTGCACCCTAACGTAAATAGACGTGGAAAGATATGTTTAACTTCCCGCTTTCTTAATACTACGTAAACAGTTGCATAACAGTTTGCATCCTAACGTAGATAGACGTGGAAAGATATGTTTAACTTCCTGCTTTCTTAATACTACGTATTTACGTAGTATTAAGAAAGCGGAAAGTTAATGCAAGTTCTTTCTAGAGACTCAAGCAAGCAAAGCATAATGAAGACTTGGGGCCCACCAGCGGCCGAGCGGTAAAGTCGCTAAACACTGGTAGTTCGGTCCGAGGTTCGAATCCCGCGAACGGGCTGGCTGCATGGGCGTTTTCGAGGTTTTCCCCATGTGCAACGTGTATACGAGCCAGTTTCCCTTAGAAAGTCCTCCACGAAGGCATCCCTCCCCTTAGGCAGATAGCCCTCGAGGCTTTGCCATAATCACACACACACACACACATAATGAAGACTCAATGACTTTCTTAATTGTCTCCAGAAGGCAAAGTGCAAGTGAAAAATTTAGCATGAACTATTTTCATATTCCGTAGTTTTCATGGATTTTTCGATTTTTTGCTTTTGCTTGAATATTGCTTGAGTTTTCTCACGACAGTTTCGCTGTATTTTTAGACCCTCTGGGCTCTGTTTGGAATACAATGAACGAGAACATCAACCTAAACATTTTGAGTGGCAGATGATCATATACTTATTATTTGAAAATTTTGGTAAGAATAAGACTTCCAGGCTTTCTGAGATGCCTGTTGGCCCGCTAGTAACCAAATGGTTAAGACCGCTGAATACTGAGAATTCGACCTGATTTCGATACCAGGCGAAATGGCTGACTGCATGGTTAGCTGTTGCGGTTTCCTGCACATATACCGTAAATATGAACCAGATTTCTTTAGAAAGTCCTCTATGAAGACATTCCACCTCTTAAGCAAATAATCGTTGTGCTTTTGTCACATTTAAATAACTTAATATGTGATGCCTTTCATGGTAATTAAACGGGTTTTTGTTGCAAAACATAATGCAAGCAAGGCAGTTTGTCAAGTTGAACACGTTTTTTAATTTGCAAATGTTTCTTAGTTAGCAAAAGTTAGGAAATTCGAATTTCATAAGCCTTTGCGTAAATAATGCAAGGGACATGCGTTAACTGATTGTGTTAATTAGTCTTCAATTTTCTGGTATCGAAAAATTTTAAATGACTAGAAAAGAGCAAAGAATTATTAGAAAAGAGTAGAGCACACGACGGCTATCTTCTGCCTTCTGTTGAGTTTATGTTAACACACCTTTTTTTTAATTTTCTTCTTCTTCTTCTTCTTTTTTTCCTTATGATTTGAATCTATACTATTACTTCTCCTTTTCTTTAGCTCTTACCGGGCTGTAAATGAGTTAACGTATTTAAATCGGCGTTCTTCAAACTTTTAGATATACAGCTTTGGCAACGGCGATCGCAGTTGTAGTTTTCCTTTGCTCAGCTCTGCTACGACAGTAATCCTCCGTTAGCCATTTTGCTACTCGAATTTAAATCTCGCGCTTAGAATTTGAGCCAACGCTTAGTAGTTTATTTATACTGGAGTCTCCTGCGGCGAATCTACTCAAAATTTAAATTAAACTTTCTGTTAACTGATATCTTACAAAGTAGCGGAGAGGTATTTGTAAACCCGAATCACACATTTTGTTCGAATTAAATATTTAAATAAAAACTATCTTTAAACTTTCTCAAGATTCTGTAGTCATTTCATAGACCTTTCCTAATTAGGTTTTGAGGACTTTACATTATTTTACAGAGCGTGAACCCTACAGTCGTTTTAAGAGAAACTAGTTCATATTCACGTTACACATGCGGAAAACAACCAAAAATCTCCATGCAGCCAGCCAACTCACCTGGGTTTGAATACGGATCAAATTACCGGTATTCAGCAGTCTTAACCATTCTACCTCTGGTGCGGCTGTGCCAACAGCAAAGTATTTACGCTAATAATTTGCGTTTTTGCAGTTTGGTGATCTTATTTGAGTGTATTCATGCTTTGCCGCCAAATATTATCGAGCTATGTTACAGTAAAAAAAAAAAAAAAAAAAAAAAAAAAAAAATTAATAATGCAGAATCTGCATATATGTATGTATGTTTCTCGCGTTGTGCTAAAACAACGGTATCTGAGAGCCGTCAAATTTTGAATAACGTAATTTTCCACGGAATATGGTCATCTGGAAGCCTTAATTTGGAATTTGAAATTATTGATTTCATATTTTGTAACACTTTAACGAATTTTTTATTAACAAACTCAACGATTTCAAAACGAGCCATGGCAACACTTTATGGGGAAAGAAACACTTTTATCTCTAGCGTGCAAGACTCTGTATCGGAAATTCTAAAGTTTTGCTCATTTAAAAATTATTTTGCGATATCGCAGTTGAATTGAATTTTATGGTTTAAGTGCAAAGAATGTGATATTTAATATATAAAGGTAACACACAAAACGTTAAGAAAACGTCCCTTTGAGCGGAATATAAAATCTGAAAAGGTTAAGATTTAAAAAAAATTTTTTTTAAAGTGTATGTGTGTTTGTGTGTGTGAAGTTGCGATTTTGGCTTAAACTTTACAGTGGCTTCTTATACCAATTAAGAGACTCACATTGAATACCGTGGCTCGTTCTCTGTGGTTTCTAAATTAGATTGCTTAAGGTCTCTCTTTTATTAACTTCAATAAATCTGTACAAGTGAAAATCAAACTACGCCCGCGGATAAGTCTGTTGCTTTCTTTTATAATACTCGCCATGATGAGATATACGCATTCTATGTGTTTGTGCTTGCATTTTACTATTTATTAATCAAAGCAATCATATCCGACTTCCTCCATTTTTTTCTCTAATCCTCGAAACTTATTTTAAATTTGATTTCGGGAAATCTCTTCAAGACTTGCAGAGGACTTTCTTTTATTGCATCAATGCATTTCATAATACACAACAAACGATACGACAACCGAAGAAAACAGTCAGCATTACCTTGATTTTTTTTTAACCAACTTTGATGTAGTCTTTTTAATCTTGCTTCGCCGTTTACCTGATTGTTGTGCAGTTTCAGTGTTAAAAGCGTAAATCAGTGTTTCATCACTGGTAAATACTAATATGCTTTAAGAAAGCCATTTCCTGAGCCACTTAAACACGTTGTTTTTTCTTTTTTAAATTAAATGACTTTTCAACAACTTAAAAAATGATGTGTCGCAAGCCCAAATGATCTTAATAATCGCTTAACAATATCCAGGCGATACATCTTAACGGAATCCAAATGATACAGGAAGTTGTTCCATAATATCCATATTTGTTAATCGATGACCAAATATCTTACTCGATCGATTACTTGAAGAGTGGTCTACCATGGTACATCTTCTGGACTTTCGCTGCCTTTTCTTAAACATCTTACACCATTAAAAAATTTTTGTTGTATTCAAAGGTTTCTTGCAAAATTTCAAATACTTTTGTAGCAGAAATGCATTGAGGAAAAAAAAATCAATACATTTTCTGTGCTCAGTTAAGCTACCCATTTTTGGAATCGCCAAAGCAAAAACATTTAATGTATTAAAAACTTATTTATTTTAAAGCGATAAAAGGAATTGTACCCAGATATTTATGAAAATGTCGTAACAACATATGAAGAAACTTTGAAGCGATTTCTTGCATATTTTGTTGTTGCGACTAATCTCGCATGTCTGATATCAAGACAAGCTCACAAAATTCATCGTTGCAAGGAGGTAAAATTGCTCCTGTCGTTGGCATGAATCTTGGCCATCATACAAATGAGAGCGTGACTGTGTTCAGTTCCTCCCAAAATTTTGAAGGACAGTAGCCGGGGGGACGGGGAGGAGGGTCCCCCACCCCTCTTTCCCTTCCACCAACTTCTCGAGAGAACTTTCGGCTCGCCGCATATTTAGAGTGCCACTATGTCGCACAGACACTGGACATTTACAAACATCCATGCCTTCTCCGGGATTCGAAACCGTACCGGGACGGTTCTTGCATGTTTTAAATGAATCATTCACGATACTTTTTGATTGCACTAGTTCATGTTTATTTATGCTTGTTTTACTCCCATCAAATTTTTCGTAAAGAACTAGCATTCACATTATGTTAACATTCGATAAAGATTTCTTGGCAATTATCACCTTGGATCTGCTCCTCTAATTTCGTGTGATTTTATTATATGTTCCAGATTTTTAAACAGTTCCACGAAGTTTCCATCATTTTAGAACCAAAAAAAAAAAAAAAATAGTTAAATGCTTTTACAGCAAGGATACTTTTGATATTTCGAATGCTTTTATCACCCTTAAAATGAGTTTGGGCTAATAAACTTAATATTTCTTATAGAATTTGTCGTTAATTTGTTGCGTGTCTCCGTGATCAATTTAAATACAAAACTGTTTATACATTTTCTGAAAAATTAATAATTTCTAAATTCAGATGATAATTCTTATGATGTGCTTTCATTTAAAACAAAACAACTATGTCAAGAGGCATGGTCTTGCAAAATAATTGAGAAAATCTTCCGAGTGTCCGAATTATTATATGAGTTATTGATTAACACATTTTGAAGAAATTATTTTATTGTTGGAAATATTTGGATATATTTTATTAAATTTATTTTACAACAAGCAAAGTTTAAAATAGAGAAAAAATAATATTAAGTCTACGTTTCTATATTTAGTACAAGATTCAGGCAAATAAGCTTCAAAAATATAAGCGTCCGATAATAAATGACAGCCATTGTAAACAAAACATTACTTTGATATACTATTTATATGATTATGTTTAAAAATTACGTACCTACTCGTGTTGATGAACACAGCACTTGATTTCATCATACGGAAAGCTCTAGAATTGAAAAGACCTTTGTTTCCTTCTGTCAAGTTGCAACATGCGATAACATAATCTGAGTTTTCCAATAATTCTTCGAATGAAGCAAACCTTGCTCCCATATCTTCAGCTAGTAGAAAATTAATTTCTTTTAACGGCATCGAAATTCTGTGAACATATAATAACAGAAATAGGAGAAGTATTAGGGGGAAAAAAAAGAGTCTTGCCGAAATTTGCTGCATATATAGAAAGATTCAACTTAGCATAAATTTAAAAGATGGGGATAGGAACTGAAAGTAATTTTTCATTATTTTGCAGAATTTAAAGTAATTTGTAAACATACTATATACTTCATAAGTTGCATATTATATGCAGAGTATCCCAGTCGAAAGGGGTCCGGGGAAAAGCGTGATATTTTTTTTTTTTTTTTTTAAACAAGAGGAAATAAAAACAGATTTTTCACATGACATGCCTTTATGTTTGAGAAATGAGATTTAAATATGGAATTTTATAAAATTTTGTGCGAAATTTAGGGAGAAATTCAAAAATTTACCTTGGCGCATTTTTTTCAGTTTGTGCCAAGAATAATTCACTTGGCTAACTTTTTAATTTATAGCAACCTTTCCTGTTTTTCATTGTAGACGAGCGGGGGAAAAAAGTCATCGTTCATACTTTCAAATAATTTTAACAAATGCGCAAACCACATTTGGCATTATTATCGCTTATAACAAATATGCCAAATTTCAAACTGAGCCGATATATAAATTCATGTATATCTTAGAAAATTTTGAATAAAAACTCTAATTTGTTGCAGGTATGCTTAGAAATACATATACTTTAAGTTGATGGTAAAAATTTTAGAGGGTATAACTCAAAAAGTTTTCGAAAAATTTATAAAAATTATTTAGAAATGCAAATTTTAAAAATAAATCATATAAAATGGGTGAATTTTATTTGGAATGGACTTAAACTTCGAATTCTAATAAAAGGAATCCAGTAGGTTTAATAAAAGAAAAGATATTAATAAATATATACCAAATTCAATTAACATTGAGGAGCTAAAATTTTGACAAAAGATATCCTCTGATGGAAAACGAAATTATAATAGCTGTCCTCACTGTAGTGATATCCAACTTTCTTCAAACCATCTCTTCGACTGTCCTGCTGTTTCGGCCAAACTTTGCAGTATAGATTGTAAGGATCTTAAGTTTTACTAACGTTTATTTTATTTTAAATCTTTACTATCACTTCTTATTTTCTACTTCCGGCCAGAATTAAGCGTTAAGTTTTTATGCAATTTGTCTGGCAAACGCCAAGTATTTAAGTTGTGGCTTTTTGCCAAGCGAGCGGGAAGCAGTGAGTCGAAGCCGGCCGCTTACCTTAGAAGTTACGCAGTTGCTGTTTCCTTCCAGGCCAGAGGTTTATCCTCTTGATAAATTAAACGTATTGTAGTTTCTCAGTTATCTGTACTACATACGCTTCCTGTTAATAAGGCCAATCTTCCACGTTTATTATTTTAAAGTTAAATTAGAGTTTTAGTTCTATTTTTATATTTTTTACGTTAGACCCCGAGTAGCGGGTCTGGTATTCCGAATACGGAAGTTTTTGTAAATAGAAAATAAGGGTTTGTTACCCTTCTTGTGTATCCTGTCTACTTCCCACAATTAGTGAACATAGCTTTAGTAAGCTCTCTGTTCCGAGTCAGGTCCTTGCATGTTCCCGAAGAAGGTAAGAAGGAACATTGACCCTGATAAGATATAGCGCCCGTGGCCAAACTCCTCTATTCTTCGAAAATTATTGATGTTGCTGAGGCTTTTCTGCATACTTTTCGTCCTATTTGGACTCCTCTGCACTGACTTCTTGGACAAGACAACAACAACGGCTAAAATTTTTAGAGCTAATATTTGAAAAACTACTTGTGCGGTTTTTACAAAACTTGACAGTCTGGCATAATTAGAGTCGTAGAATCGAAATATGTAAAAGAATTGGTATGTTATTTCAGAAAAGTCCGATTTTGTGTTTAGATACGATTTTGTGTTCGTACTTCTGTTAGAGCAATACTATATGTAAATCTAATATACATCCTAAGTCGGTCGCGTTTGCGAGACATGAAAAACGCAAGTTGAATTTCGTCAATCGGCCCGGTGAAACGCGAAATATAGAACTAGCACTTTTTTTTTCCTTTTTTTTCGCAGTGTACATTACAAGAGCTGCTGGGAGTGCCCTCCTTCCCCACCTGCATACACTGTTCAACATGGAGCTATATTTTCGTGTATGTTGCTGCAGGAGTACACGTGTTATGAAGAGATTGGGTTCTTTGACTGTCCATGAACTACCAAAGCACAAATGTTTATCGAATAGTGACAACCAGCACGCAGTCATCAAGAAACCCTTTCATTCCGGAAGCGATCCTCTATGCATATCACAACAAGCGCGGGGATCAATTTTTTTTACACTATTCACAGTAATGTATTAGGCTCTGTTTCTTGAATTAATGAATCGGTTGGATGATGAGAAGCTGACATTTGGTTGGTACAAGGCAAATGAACAACTGCCACCTCTATAGCGATACGACTCATGAATCAATTTTCAGACTGTCTCCCTTGAGTCTTTATAGGTGCCTAAGATAAGGATACAAGCACGATCCTCGCTCTATCGCAGGGTTACGTCAAAACATCTGCCACGAAATCCAGGTAGTGACGCCCAATACTCTGACAGCAACATACCGACTCATGCGTGTGAAACTGTGGTACAGTGATGAGATCATTTCCATCACCTTTATCATTTTCATTTCTCAAATGTAAAGGCATGCCACGTAAGTATTTGGTTTTATTACCTCATTTCATAAGACTTTTTTATCTCACTTTTGCTGGGGCTCCTTCAGTGGGGTCACCTTAGAATGATTGTAATGTAAGACTAAAGGAGCACAATATTATAATTAGTTAACTCATATAGTAGACTTCGGCTTTGGTCGTCTTTGGAGGCTTACGTCAATCGAAATATAGATTTTTAGCCCAAAGGAGAATGAAGTATACCTCAAACACTTTTGCTTCATACTTAAATGCGTTCACATCACTTTTCAAATTGCTGCTACCCATTATTGGTAGCAGCAATGGTTTTTTTCTAATTTTTTTTTTTTTTTTTTTTGGGTGGGGGGGGTTTAATTTCTAAACCAAATGCTGGCGCTGTATAAGTCGCAGAAAGAGGGGAAATAAAAATAACTAATAAAAAGGCTAATATTTAAAGTATAAGAATTAAATTAAAATTAAAATTCCTAAATATATAAAGATATAAATTAAAATTAAATTAAATTATTAAATTCATGATAAATAGTTACATAAAAGGAAAAAATATCGCTCATTACGTTATTTTGAGCTTCGGCTTGAATTTCATTCAAAAAACTAAGCAATAGCTTAACCGGTCTCCGGCTTAATTCAAGCCCTGAAAACTGTATAACGTACTATTTCAAGAGATGAGACAAATAAAAACTATTCTTTTTCCAGAACCCAGTAGAAAAAAGTAAAACGATTAAAGCATCATTAATGAGAACAGACTTTCTGATCACGATGGCCTTGTGCATATAATTCTAGCTATCAAGAAGATTGCGACTGGGCAAAAAAAATTTCCCCCGAATCCGATCCAATAACAATATGAGAACAAACGTAAATGTCTGCATAAGTGACAATTTTTGTCCCCGTGCCCACCAGCGGCCGAGCGGTAAAGTCGCTGAACACTGGTAGTTCAAGTCCGAGGTTCGAATCCTGCGAACGGGCTGGGATGCATGGGTGTTTTCGTGGTTTTCCCCATGTGTAACGTGTATACCGTGACATATCACTAGCACAGGACGTGTATGACCATAGGTAATCACTTTTTGTACTTCAGGAAACAAAATATTTTACCCACTCTCATAAAATCATTGCACTACCTGAAGAATAAGCCTTCGAAATGTGGATGGGGAATTTTATTCCCTTAAAAGTCTTAACCCGTCCGCCTGTTTTTCCCTAGAGAAAGACAGGTATGCATTCGGAAATTATGATAAATTTTTAATGCATATTTATTTTTAAAATAAAATTTTCTCTCAGACTGTGTTTCATTTACATAAACGAAGTGCTGGAGCCCTTTTATTTAAAGCTTCGGTGCTCACCGGCTGGAATCACAGTTTACACCAGAAACTGAGAAGTACCGGTGACTGAGGTATTGAGGCTCCGGTGATCTCCGGCGCAATTTAAGCTCTCATTATCGGCCTGTATTATATTTTAAGAAATTAAATAATGAAGAATTTGCATAAATGTATGCGTGTTTTTCTCTCATTGTGAAAAAAACAACGAAACCTAGAGCCATTAAATTTTGAATAACGTAGCCCTCCACCCGAACATGGGCACGTGGAAGCCCGAATATTGAATTTCATATTTTATGAAACTTTAATGAGTTTTTGATTAACAAACTCAATGACCTTGAAAGCTAGGAGTGGCAACACTGTACGGGATAAAACATTTTTATCTCCAGCGCGCGAGGGTGTTTCGACCTCGAATGTATACAGAGTTCCCGCGAACTTAAATTTGATTCAACTGCTGTGCCATTGAGCCCGAAACACACATTCCCTAATAGCATTAGCTCTCTGCTCTCCTTGGGCGTTGAGCCGCGAAAAACAGGAAAACTTATTTTTTTTAGCATCCCAGGCACCAATTGAGAAGAATCAATTTCTTTGATTAAAAAATGCTGATATAATTTGAAAGATACATAAATGAAGATATGGAAGATGGATGTTTACATCTATTTCCAGGTGATACAGCTTTCGTGATTTTCTGTTCCTTGGCGAAAATTATATCGGTCGATTTTTACCTACGTGTTATATGTATGCATACATATATTATTAATTATTAAATGTACAAGTGGACATTTAATAAATTATCCGTGATACAGATTTGCGTTTTAAATTTTAATTTTTACTTCCCTGTACGAAGTAAAAAGGAAGTATTGTAATCGCGAAAATCTTCAACATTTGAAAAAGCAAAATAGTAGATTTGTTGCCAATCTAGAGAAAGTAAGCTTCGCACAAAAACAAAGATAACGTCTTCTTTTATTATTGCGAATTAAATCATGCTTAATCCATTCTGGAATTTATTCGAG